TATAATTCTTATGAATATTAGACGATGTTACAATATTTATAATAATCTATTTGAAACATTCAGTATCCCTCGAACATTTTGTTACGGTACGGTAAGTTCCAGCAATTTGCCTTAAGGCACGATGCCATATACCCCACTTGTTAGTATTATTATTAACGAATTTTTTTTTTTTTTTTTTTGTTACAATTTATTTTTGTTAATCAAGACTTTAATGTCTTATTTACAAAATTGATATGAGCAAAAAAAAAATACAAAAAAAACAAAAAATGCAATACATTGAATATAAAATGAAAAAAGTTAAAATAAAAATTAAATTAAAACAGTAATACAAAAATAATAACATAAATGAACGATGACGTGATGATGTATGCCGCGTACTACGTCAGGACGCGTGCAGACATTGGGCTAGGTGTTTGGTAGATCGGAAGGCCATTTCTTGCTCAATCTTCTTATCGGTCTCTGAATCGCTTGAATTGTAGGATTTGTATGCTGGATTAATTTGTTGTTAAAAGATGAACTTCTAATCTTGATCATTTCGTTGACTGTTGAGATTTTCAAATCCTTATGTAGGCAAAAATTCGAAATATACCAAGGCGCATTAGTAAGGATACGCAGAATTTTATTCTGGCACCTTTGAATGATGTTTATGTTAGATTTGCATGAGCAACCCCATAGTTCGATTCCATAAGTCCAAATGGGCACTATGATAGTTTTATACAAAAGTACCTTGTTATCGAGAGAGATTTCAGATTTCCTCCCAAAAAGCCAGTAAAAATCTTTTATTTTCAGTTGGATTTGTTTCTTTTTATATTCAATGTGCGTTCTCCATGTCAATTTCGAATCAATGTGCATGCCTAAATATTTAACAGAATTGCATAGTGGAATTATTGAATTGTTCATGATGATAGGTGGACTGTTGTGATGTTTTAGAGAAACAATTATGTGCTGAGATTTTTCGATATTGATTTTGATATTCCAATCTAAAAACCATTTTTCAAGACTAGATAAATAATTTTGTAACTGACAAGTTGCTGTTCTTATATCGGAATTGCATGAAATAATTGCTATGTCATCGGCGTAAGTGCATATGGTTAGAAGATCATCTGTGGGCATATCGTTTGTGAAAAGAAGATAAAGTACAGGGCTTAGCACACTGCCCTGTGGTACCCCGCATTCTATATTTCTGATGCTCGAAGTCACATCTTTAATTTTGATTCTAAATTTTCTATTAAGCAAATATGAGCTTAAGATATTGAAGTAGTTTGGAAAAGTTGTTTTGATTTTATATAGGAGTCCTGAGTGCCAAACCTTATCAAAAGCCTGACTAACATCTAAGAATACGGCTACGCTGTGTTCCTTTCTATTCATGGCTTCAAGAATACGAGACACCGTTCTGTTGCATTGTTGAATTGTAGAGTGATTTTTTCTGAAGCCAAACTGATGGTGAGGAATCCAACTATCATTCGGATGATCTTCTGACAATCTCTGCAACAAAAGTCTCTCTAAAATTTTCGATAATATCGATAAAAGACTGATAGGACGGTATGAACTAGCAGTGTGATGGTTTTTGTTTGGTTTAGCGATCATAATAATTTCTGCAGTCTTCCACGCTGTGGGCCAATAATTGTATTGAAGTATGGCGTTGAAAATATTTGTTATATATAAGATACCTTTTGTAGGCAATTCTTTTAACATCTTTGGAGTAATTTTATCCATACCCGGCGAAGATCTATTTTTTATCCTTTTTATTTCACATAAGACATCATTTGGTGAAAAATGTCCTAACGGTGTAGAATGTATGGGTTGATTTACGAAATTGTTAATTAAATTATTCTGGGAAATATTTCGAGCGCTAAAAATGCTACTTAGATGATCAGCAAATGCCTCCGCTTTTTCTTCGTTGCTTTTTGCCCAAATGAATCCGTTTTGGTTGGTTATTTTCAGAGGAGGGTTTTGTTGTAGGGGTTTACTTTTGTTTCTGATTGGTTTCCATATGGAATTATCGTATCTATTTAGCTGCAATATATACGACCTGAATGTACAATTCTTCCATTCTTTCATTTTTTTCCTCAGCGTGTTATTGAGATGATTGAGCGATGTCTTATCCGTTGGTAGATGAGAATGTTGCCAGGTACGTCTTGCTCTTCGTTTCTGTGCAATTAGCTTCTTAATCTCTTGCGGAATTATTAGATTATCATTTCTTGGAATAATGTTCGGGGTGATCTGCTTGGTTGTTTCACGTACAATCTCAGAAAAATAATCTATATTATTTTCTATATCAATAACGCTTGTAGGCCTAGATTTTGGAAATAATTTTGAATCAAGTATGGATTTGAATTGAATCCAGTTAGAAAGATTGTTGTGTAGAATATGATTGTTGATAACTGGAGTAGGAAATGTGCTAAACGTCACAAGTATTGGAGAATGATCTGAAGAGAGATCGTAACTAGATTCAACATTGAGATTTGAAAGATCAATACCTTTCACAATAAAAAAATCTAAAAGGTCTGGAACTTTAGTAGGGTCAGAAGGCCAATAAGTTGGACTGCAAGTTGAAACAAAGGAGAGGTTATTTTGCCCTATGGCTGCATGAAGAATCTTTCCTTTGGCTGTAGTCAGTCTAGAACCCCAGGCAATATGTTTACAATTAAAGTCACCACCAATGATAAATTTATTACCTAATTGAGAGAAAAATGAAGAAAACTGAGCACAAGAAATTTTGAATCTTGGTGGACAATAAACAGCAGAAACACAAAAATTATATAAATTTGTTTCAACAGAAATTTGAGTTGCTTGTAGAAAATCATCAGAAATATTTGGTAGAACAAAATGCTTTATATTATTTTTGATTAATATAGCCGAACCGCCGCGAGCCCTGCCACTTGGGTGATTTGAATTATAAGTAGTGTAGTTATAAATTTTGAAGTAGTTTTTTTCAGTGAAGTGAGTTTCTGAGATTAATAAGATATCTATTAAGTTTAACTTTAAAAAACATTCTACTTCATTTTTGTGAGGTATTAAACCGTTGGCATTCCATTCAGCAATTTTAATTATTTTTGCCATTGCTTTTGTTGTTGACTAACGTGGATAACATATTTATTATTATGGTGTTCTGTTGCAAAAGCTGATTGAAGATATTTTTAAATTCTAAAATAAGTGTTGCTAGAGAATCAGAATCCGGATTTGAAGGTGAATGATTAGAAGCAGAGTAATTGTTTTTTGCAATGTCTGCATAGGATGAATTTTGAATTGTTGGATTTAAGGCCGGAGAAATGTTGTTTATTTTATTATTAGAATTAGAATTATTAGAATTATTAAAATTTTGGTTATTTGGATTTGGATTTATGACTGATTGATTTACTGGAGTTTTTTTTCTTTGTTCTTTAATTTTTTGGAAGTATGAGCAACCGCGATAATTAGCTGGATGAGCACCGTCGCAAAAATAACAACATGCCGGAGCATTCGGATCTTTGGTACAAGCGTTAGTATTATGATTGTCACCGCATTTTAGGCAAGCAAATGGTCTATTGCAGTATTTTTTGGTGTGATTAAAGAGTTGACAGCGAGTGCATTGTATAATGTTGTTGGACTTTCTCGGTGGTTCGACGCGTATTATGCAGTTGAATAATTTATAAATGTTATAAATATTTTTGTTATTTCTATTTGGTTCCAGATCAACAAAAAACATATTAAGAGGTTCTTTTGTTATTCTATGTCTAATATTTAGGATATTACGTACGACATGACCCTGTTTTAATAGTTCTAATTTAATTGCATCTGTGCTTGTCGAAAAGTGTACATTCTAAGAACAACCCTATAAGCCTTCTCTTCTTTTAATTGATATGTATGATATACGGCATTAGTTTCTTTTAGATGTCTGGATAAAGTTCGAAAATGGTCGACAGAATTACATAGAATTTTAAATGTATTGTTAGCCAAACTTCTCAGGAAATATTGATCATGCGGAATTATTTCATTTAATTGATTAGACATATCATTAATATCGTCAACTCCGTAAATAAATATTGGAGGGGGCTTACTGACTGGGGCCGGTTTAACTAAGTTGTCGTCATTAGCTGTGTCTATTGTTGAAAGGGCCGAAAATCTGTTTTGAATTTTGACATCTATTCCTAATGGTTCAAATGAAGTTTTTCTTTTTTTGAAATTGACTACTTGCCATGAATTAGGAGGTTTCTTGACATCAGAATGTGGTTGAGTGAGGCTTGTAGATGCATTATTACTAGATGATATTACTTCCTGTCTTGAGTCAGAAACTGATGAAGTTGAACGCAGCGAGACCTTTTCCGATGTAAACATATTGGTCCGACCTTCTTCGCGAGGTATCTTGCTGTATTTGCTGGATCCAATAACGGTCTTTCGTAGTTTTGGGATTTCTGATGGTTTACTGTCCGATTCCATATTCGCTTCTATATCTTGATTGAAATGTAAGACATTTTTTTGATTCCACAAACGCACATTAGAATCTCGATTATGTATGTTTTTTTGTAAGCAATTATTTAATTATCTGTACACTTTTGTAAGCTTTTCATGCAATTTTAATAAACCGTAAAATTCAATCTGACATGCACTTGTTTTTTTCATTAACGACATGAGATGCTGTACGGATTCTTTATTTATTGAAACTTTTCAAAAAGGCGATTACATTCATACTTTTTTCGATGAACTTTTCGAATTTCTTAGACGTTGCACAAATTCCTATGAAAAAGGCATAAATGTTTATGAACTAGTTTATATGCATTATATAAGTCTATAATAAAATATAATATATTCAAATGACTGACATCCTGAATGTATTGTTTTCCTAATAATGACAAAGGCGACTTGGATAATACCGAAAATATCGACTGCGACAATAAAAATTATATAGAGGAGGTCATGACCACTGATAAATTTGTTCAAACAAAAATAAAATTTACAACACAAAATTGCACCAGTTAGATTTAGTATACGATAATGAAATAAAAATATCATACATAATCATGAGTGCGGACACAAAATTTAAACACAACACATCGAGCGAATCCTATAATGGTGCTGTTACAGAAAAGTATTCCTGGTCACAATCAATAAATGAAATAGACATATTCATACCTTTGCCATCGACAATAACTTCAAGTAGGCAGTTGAAAGTTTTGATTACACCTGCACACTTCAAAGTAGAATTCAAGAACGAATCAACTCCTTATATTGACGAAGACTTCTCGTTCAAATGTAAACCATCAGAGTCTGTGTGGTGGCTCTCAAATGGTAAACTATTGATACATTTACAAAAGAAGGAGGATCGATGGTGGCAAAAGTTGTTGGAGTCGGACGCGCCTTTGGATATAAGTAAAATGAATTGTTCAAGGCCCATAGATGAACTCTCTGAAGACGCACAGTCTTTGGTACAAGAAATGTTTTGGAACGAAACACAAAAAAGTATGGGCAAGCCTACTACAGAAGATTTAAGAAAGAGGGAGCTTTTAAGAAAGTCCTGGAATGTTGACGGTTCTCCTTTTAAAGGGACGGAGTTTGATCCATCTTTGGTAAACTTCCACTAATTAAAAGTAAGAAGATTTAGAATCGATCCCAAGGGCATGGTATTGTTTTATTATGATGTTATTTTATTTATATATTGACATTTTTTCAATTTTTATTATACATGTATAAATTTTTTGTGAAGCTGAAATAATATGGATACGTAAACAAGATGTTGTCTTATTTCTACATTTTCAGCATCGTCTCTTAATAAAATGAATTGAGTAGTAACAGCGTTTTTAATAGGAATTTAAAAGATGTTACAATATTTTGTAAATAGTCCTGCATAATATTGCCATAGCCACTGTCCCGCAGACCAATATAAAATTGATCTACCATAAAATTTCGATTTTAGTTATCATTATATATTAATTTTAAATTTTATGTTGTATTTTGTTTAAAATTTATCAATCATAAATAAGGGGGCGTCCATTAATCACGTGAGCGAGTTTTTAAGGATTTTTGAATTCTCCTCCGCCTTGGTGATACATGGTGATATTCAAATTACCTCCCCCCCTCCCCCACCAAACATCACGTGTATTTTTAGTTATGTGAAAAAACTGTAAAATTTTTGAATGAAGTAATTTTTTTTTGAAAATGTTCGATTTTTCAAAAAAAAAAAACAGTTAAACAAATACACGTGCTATCTTACAATACCCCTCCTTCCCCCACGTGATATTTCATGATTTTTTGTCAACCCCCCCCTTCCCCTAAAAACCTCACGTAATTAATGGACCCCCCTAATGTGTAATAATTTTTATGATTACTAAACTGTTCAAATATTTATCTTGATTAATGTGAAAAATCACACCTGGGGTTAGTTGAAACAATACTTTGGGACTACTTGTAATGTACAAGAATTATATACAGATTCAAGTAAAGATGACTGGGTGGAATTTATAGTTCGTAAGATGTGGGCAAATATAAATTTTGATACAGGAGTTACTATATCTTTTATTTCTATTATGATAAATAATTGTTTGTGTTATTATTTGTATTAATTATAGTTTGCGTTGATTTATGAAAAAAAATGCATAGAAACGAGAAAATCATAAAATCTTTGTACTAAAAATATTCAATTTAAAAAAATAAAATTAACGCGAAGATCGTTTAAATACAATTTAAAAGTTATAATGTAATCCGGTTCAATTATTTTCACTTATTCGAAACATAATTCAATCTATATTTCAAGTATACTTGAATCCGTTATAACGATAGAATCATTAATTTGGGGTGCTGACTACTATTATTTATAATCATTATTTACAAGTAAAAGCCGATATCACTACTGCTTGATAGCATGCTGTCCAACATGGAGATTATTATAGAATATAAATATACCATCGATTCAATTGAATGTGTATTTCCAATGCTTGTTGAACAATATTAATACTTATAAAGAACATAAAAAGTGAAAATTATTCATAACAATAAGCGTAGTATTGATAATTTTTGTATATTACATTTCATTGAAGCTATATTTGCAACTATTTACCATACATGGAGAAATTCTCAAGATGGCCATAGCTCAACATGATTGTGCATATAAAGTTCAGCAATATACGATATTATATTATAATATAATAAAATAAAAATAATATTAAGTTTTCATTGATACATATTTAACTAAATAATATAAAACAGTTACCATGGCCCATGTGATTTTTTTTTCTGATATTATTGTAACGATTAACGTATTAGATAAACTGTAGCTTGAATAAAACTCACCATGAATGCCATATTTATTGTCATGAATAACCTTTTAATATAGCACGTGTTGACTCAATGATTATTAAAATTTTAGAACAAGTCAAATTATATAAATTAAAATATATGCACTTAATAAATATTAAAATCATTGCACAACCTTGATAAAATTCACTAGCAATAACCACCGACGCTATTAATCGGTTACGTAACCGACTCCACAGGTACCTTTACCTGTACCGACCGCCCGAACGAAATGCACTGACCAAAATGTAAATATTGTAGGATTATTTGGAATCAGTTTGGCAACATGAAAAAATTTAAACAAAAATTGTAAATAATAGGATCACAGTTAGATCGTACAAGAATTTAAGGCGGTAAATTTAAATGGGAAAATTCGTACGTAACATATAATTTTGTTTCGGACATGCTCACTTATTTTACACCTTATATGATGGTAAATGGAATTTTCAAACTATTATATTTTTTTATTAATTTAGGGGTTGTGTTGATAACTTTTAAAAACCAATATATTTCTTTGGATTTTGTAATCAAAATTTTTATGCTTGACATATACCGTCTATGGAATATTGCCAATGCCGAATCACACATTTTTCATATTTAATACATTTTTTGCGGTATATTGCAATTGCGATAAAATATGTGTATTTTTTTAAACCAAATAATGTAGTGAGAGATTTTTACAAATGCAGAAACATATATGATGAAATGTTTTTGGGTATCATTCCAATAATGAAAAGACTTTAATCAAGAAGTATATATTTATTAGAATAACATGCGTTTTGACTCTTGGTTTGACTAGTCTTGCTATATTAAAAAAATTGCAAAATTACAAGATATAGAAGTATATAAAAATATTACAAAAATGCAAGATATAATTGTATTTCTTTAATTTTTTATATATTTTTTATGCTGTGATTTTGTATGTAGCCCTGAAGATGAGTCAAATCAAAATTCGAAATATATATTAAAAATGAGTATTTAGTTGCAAATTTCATTACGTTCTGTTTCAACAGGTTGTTGCTTTCGCAACTAATATTGCATATTATCCTAAAACCAAATAGAAAAACATTGCATTTAAGTGTATTTTATTTGAATATATTGCGGAATTGATATACAAATAATCATCCTGAAAAAAAGTTTAAATCAACTGTCATCAAACCATCTATACCTCAAAAGATGCAACCACAGTAGAAAATGCAAAGACAGCCTAAAATGTCAACACATCATGTGAAAAACTACAGAGATCACATAGCCCTCTGTATTGTAAGCTAGATATTATTTTTCACAAATAAACTTCAATGTTCGTACATTTAGCAATATACAAACTTTTGGTTAATGTTGTCATTTAGGGACCGATTCTGCCACACAACAAAAAAATGTTATGGCAAAGCCATGTTACGCTCCGACTTCCATAAATTATGCTAATGAATAATACTTAATACTGTCAAAATGTCATGAATTTGCTGTTCATTCAGGCGTTTTACTCATAAACTGCAACGTCACTCGTATGTTATGGAGCTGTATCAGAAACACACTGTTATCTAACATCGTTTTTTGACATTTGTGCGGCTTCTAGATTATGTTTTCCATCAGACAACCTGAGAAATTCGCCTGACTGCACACCAACCGCATGGCTTTTGACAATATTAGTATGGAAGGTTCTTCATAACATGGCATTGCCATAACATTTTTCTGATATGCGGCTGAATCGGTCTCTTAATATATTCATAGTTGTTGGAAATCCATTAATTATTCCTGTCGGACCCTGAAGATGCAGCTGATAGGGTCGAAGTCCTTACAATTAAAATTCTGCTTCTAAAAATACAAATAAGTGTAGAAACAAACAACATTGAATGCACAGTTTATTTTATTTTTGAGTTTATGTTACACCGTCTTATCTACCTAGAGAACGGATTTATAATTAAATTTTTCGCGATTTTACAATTTCGTTATCATTTTTATTTATTTCATTATAGTAGTTACAAATAGTTTTAATCATTACTATCAATGTTATGTATTGCACATATATATTAATAACTACATAGAGGTACAGTCCTAGATCTAATGTTATTGGCGTGGTACAGTTTTTAGGGTTTTTATCCATTTACTAAGAAGGCAGATTAGGGTTACATTAAATAGTACATAATAGCAATTGACACAGTGTAAATCCTGCGTTGTCAATTCAAACGTTCGGCATTGAACGGTTGTAAATATTCATGAAAAATACAATTGCTTGTTAATTCTCAATGCAATCAAATGACTGAAATATATCTGCTTTCTTAGTATGCATTGTGATGAACTGTATCAAATATTTTTGCCAAGACGTAGCTAAATACAAAACCATCGTTTTGATAACTAACTGTATTCGATCGCCGCGTCCATTCAAGAATAATATAATTTGGTTGCTGCGACCTACGCAAGCATGTCTTAACGTATTTCAAATTGTACAAAATCTAAAAGTAGATTTGCCAAAATATATTTATAATCAGCAGCAAAAATTTACCATATCTAAATTGCTCATTACTTTCTAAACATTTCAACAATTTCAAGTTATTTGTGTCCAACTCGGAAAATACTACGATTAGGGCCTACTTTGAAATTCGGGGTACTGAGAAATAGCAAGACATCGTGCAAAATTATTTATAAACCATTCTTGAAATGTACTTTTTTGTTCAGCCCTCATAGTGTGTGCATTATATACAGAACAATACATATTCGATATTGCTTCGAAGTCATTTCCTTAATTTACATGTAACTTCTAATTAATAATTAAAAATTGCAGATGTTCTCTTTAACACTCTGGCAAGAATAATATTAAGATGGCATCATGAAAGCGGTGATTTATGATTACATTTTAAATTACTTATTTTTGTATTTTATACTGTGCAGGATCACATAGATATATAAGGATGTCTGAAATCATGGCTTGTGCAAATTCAGGTCCTTACTTGTTGGTGGACCATATTTAATAGATATTCCAACTCGAACAATAGTTGCTGCACGAAAATATTTAATCATAATGAAATTAAAGCTCTTGGAAATAAAAATATAGTGAAATTCCATTGCGATTAATGATCACTCATTATAAAAACCAGTAAAACACTCAAAAAAGAGGGTATTTAAAAATGCTTGAAACCAACAATTCTGGAATGAGTTGATATCACGCAACGGAAAATTAGCAAGACAAAAAAAATTGTAAGCATATGATTAATTTAAAATATATTTATAAGAAAATCAAATATATCTGAAATCAATGCATCAATCAAAAAATACTATAGATTCTTTTTAATTT